AGATATGTTGAATGAAATATTGCAATTAGTTTTAATTCGGTTTCGCAATAAAATATTTTGGGAAAAATACCGTTTTACTACCAAAAGAATTTGTCAAATATATGTATGAAAATGAAATCAGAATACATGATATTGATACAAGTTCTAGTAAGCTCTATGTATGTATTTAGATTAAATAGTTTATAAAGAAACAGTAGATAATACAAACGCTTGACATGTATAGATTAACGAGAGTATTGCACATTAATTTGACACTACATGCTGAAGATCGGTGGGACACCAGTTCAGTGCATTTTCCATTAATGATTTTATACACATCACGAGGACACCTATTTACTAGCGCTATAGTGCTGAGAGGTTCGAAATAAGAATCATGTATCGGGGTAATACGAATCTTCTTTGCAATGATTCCAAGATATACATCATCGATACCAAAATACTTCACATAGGGAAATGCTATTTTAAATTTACGTACAACACTGTATGAGGCCAAGAATGCTCCTCCCGACAGATAGGGTGGAAATTTGTCAAACGGATAGTGATCATAACTAAGTTTCCACTTGCTATTGGTTTCCCTATGAGGACTGATATCTTTCCAAAGTTTACCTCTAAATAAGTCTGATTTTTTAGGTATTCTTTTCAGGTGGTTAATCATCTGTGTATAGTTAACGTGATAAAAATCCTCTAACACTAGTACAAGTTCTGCTTGTGAACATTTTGCATCCACCCAGTTGAATCCCATTTCAAGTTTCCGGGTAGAATGCATATGATGCTCTTTGAATTTTTCCTGTAGAATGTCTTTGTACTGGACGTTTTCCATGTCCACCATAGCCTGACTCTTTGCCGAATGTCCCAGCAGGAATACCACTATGATTGAAGGGTCTCCAATAGATTTCCAAAAGGCTCTGATCTCTTGACGTATGTTGTAATTACTGGAGTTCACTTTTATAAGGATAACTAAGCATCCATGACTGCCTTTCTCAGAAGGATATGAACAGTCAGAGGGTTGATTTAATTTTGCGAATTGATGAAAATTGATCGGTTTATATGGAATCTTGTTATTGTAAAGTATCACCCTTTTCACTGCTTCATCAAGTCTCACTTTTAAAGGATAGGAAAATTCTTCATTATACGATAGATAAATTGTGTCATCTACAATCGCTGACTGACCATTTTCTAATAATATACCGCCAGGAGATAATGTCTGCAGACTCAGCTGAAATATCTCTCGCTTCTTTTCAGCTAAATCACACTTTTCATTAATAATATTTTCAACGATATGAGAACATTCTTTAGCCAGTGATTCGCGGTTGACTGTATCTAAATTGGTTTCATTTTCTGCCCGAACATTAAGTTTTTGGGCTACAATTCCTAGATAAACATCATCTATACCTAAATACCTGACGTAAGGAAAAGCACGCTGAAATTTTTGAGCAACATCGAACGACACCACATATGCACCCCCTCCTATGTACGGTGGAAATCGGTCAAATGGATAGTCCTGGAACGTTAAAAACCATTTAGTTTTCTCTTTCCTGTAAGGAGGAGCAGCAATAGCCAGACTTCCACAATAAACATCCTTATCCCTATACCTGAACTCGGCCCGCATGTACATGGCAACCTCATTCCATTTCACATGATAGTCATCATCCTGAAATAATAAAATCTTGGCACCTGTACAATATCGTACTGCCCAGTTATACGCCATGATTGTCTTGTAAGTGTTGTTGAAATAAGCATCGATAAAATCTTCTTGAATGATATCCTTGTAAAGACTGGCTTCCTCGTTTATCTTCCTCTGAATCACCGGACTGCCATAGTAACCCAACATGAACACAAGTGATATGGAAGTTTGGTTCACACTCTTCCAAAGCGTTCTCTGAGCTTTTCTAAATCCAAAATTTAAAGCGAATGACTTTATCAGAACAACCATGTTACTGGTAGTGCTGTCATCAAAGTCACACTGAAGTGGAAGATTTATGTAAGAGAACGGATGTTTATTAAGAATTTTCAAAGGCACATCTTTGTCTTGTGATATAGAATCCATTATCATCCTAGGGAGATTTTCCTCTTCTGGTGGATAAGAGTAAGATGTATTATATGACAGGTATTTTATGTCAGTTGAATTTAATTCATCTGTTGGAATCAAGAATGAGTGAATGTTTCCGTCACTGTCCCAAATAGATGGCCTTTTTGTTGATTCGTATTTCATAGCGAGGTTTAGTATCTGAAACAACAGACCTAGAACGCTGATCAGTGTCATGGCCAGAATAGGATGAGGCACGCGACACTGGTGTCGGATGGTGTTCCACATCACCATAGTAACGTAGGCTTTGAAACTTATTCGACGACTGACATTAAATAAAAAATCTCGTACCTGCAAAAATAAATGAAAATATACCTTTTGTGATGAATTTTAATAGCAATTTAGTATGTTCAATGCCATCTTTAGATGGGACTGTAAAATATACAGTTATAATATAGTTACGTTCTAAAGGCCAAAACGACGGCGTGTGATATAAAGGTGACATCATTATGTCAAATACATTAGAAGTATAAAAACAGTATCACGTGATTATCATAAAATCAGACAAAATGTTCAATTTTATAAGTGTTTCTTTTTTGTATATAAAAAACACATAGAATTACCTCACACGGGAACAGTTAACTTCTTCCAGCCCCAAACAGTGTCTTGTTGCGTCAAAGATTGTCGGAGTATTAACCAAAACATTTTGGACTACTTACGAGGAAATAGGATGTTTATTCATTTAATCAAAAAATTAACAATATCAAGTTGATGAACTTGAAACTGTCATGAATGTTATAAGTTGTTGATCATGTAACGGGATATCTCGATCAGGCTACATTTTGTATAGTCACAGACCTACCTAGTGTATAGAGCATTCATAAAGGACAAAGACAATCCAAGTGTCATTCTCGACTAGCCAGGTAAGGCGAGTCTCTGACCCGCGACTATCGTGTTTCGAGGTTTAGGTATGGTTAGGCTGAATCACTGATCAAACATGTCGTCAGGGTGTAGTGATTCACTTTGTCATAACAGGATTGGGGTAAAACAGGACTGGGGTAAAACAGTTGTTCGATACATTCTACTTGAACTTGAAATGTAATAATATAATTTTGAAAATAAATAATAGGATACTATGATTTGTTTTTTTCAATTGTGTGCTCTTCACGAATGAATTACATAAGTGGCAATACTCATGATATTTTCGCGTCAAAATACAATCTGTGATACTCTATTTAAGTTTGTTTAGATGACTGACAGAATGAATATTGGAATAGGTACGTCATCAAATGTATTTGTCTATATGCAGACTCATTCAATCATAGTTTAAGAATAGTTAAATTGATATACACTTTCCTTTCGTCTGTATCACTTGTGTAGTTATAGAGTTATAAGATGTTCAGGTACGAACAGGTATCATCATTATTACATTTTCACTTATGAAATAAAGATAAATATAAGATCGATAATAATGTTCTTTTTTCAAAGCAATTAGAAAATAAACCCCTTTTCTCTGGTGAAAATTTTGAAGGATTTTGCCCAAGCAAACAGGGAAATTATTATACACCTGTTTGTCTTTTTCTTCTTTTGTAAGTGAACCCTTTAAGATAACTTGGATTATTAGTGGCTAAAAACGAAGCAAACAACACTTTACAGCTGTTTCGTCTTTGTAGGACTCGTCACTGATGCCAAGGGCTAAGTTTTGAAACCTAGGAGGTGACTGAAGAAGTGATAAAGATGATAAAAAAAACAAATGTTCAAATTTAGATTGGGAGATACACTAATCCTATAATTTTACTAAATTTGGTAATTTTCAAATGTCTGGTATTTTTAGAAGAACATCAATTGTATGGGTATATTATGAACCGCAACACTATTTGAATAAATTCAAACGTGGCATGCAGATTACCGCAAACCTCGAGAACTAATCGAAAACTCAAAAAATTTGATACAGTATTACAAAAATAAAATGTAATAAACAAAATATTTAATTACGTTTTCTGTGATAAGAACGATTTTTTCTCATGTAGCTAATGATATGCATTCTGCGCGCTTGATACCAAACTATTAGCCACATTTGTCCTCTCTATATTGAAGCATGATATCAAACATTGTAACATTAATGTAACGATAATGGTATGCTGGATGTGCTGACTAGTCGTATTAAATATAATCTTCATCGTTTAGAATGATTTTTAAAAGATATCGATAGGAGCACTATCTACCTTTAATCGAAATTTCTTTGATATCGACGATTATGGAACCTTACCGTATCTGTTGACATATATTAGGAGAAACTAACAACAGGAACATGTGGTGACATTCTCTGATCCATGTATTCGCGATTCCACCAAGACATGAAATGATATTCTTGTGATGACCTTGATGGCTCATTATCATTCCAATTACATTTGTTTTCAATATATTATTACGGTATTAAATAGTATCCAAATAATTTGTCAATCTGTTTTTAGTGTAGGGTGTACAATAGAAAAGACAAATATAAGTTTATAACTATTTTTATTTGATGGCAGTAGCGTTTAATCAAATATCAGTGTTTATATCAAAACCTTTTTATCAATTACTTGCGGTGGGCCTTAATAATCATTACTTTCACGTCTAACCAGAACCTCGAACCTCGGCCGTCTTATTGAAATATTTGTTATTTCATCAAATACGGCTTAGGTTTAGGCTTTTCAATTGTTTAACTGTTGCTCTCAGGAAGTATCAAAACTTTTTATCAACTGCTTGCGGTTGGCCTAAATAAGTAGTAACCAGAACATCAAACCTCGACCGTTTTATTGAAATCATTGATATTGCACCAAATATGGCTTAATTGCTTTTTTAGTTGTTTAATTGTTACTCTCAGGAAGCGTTGTTAAATATCATACTTTCATTGTATGGTATGAACAGCGACAATTTCATCAGAATTTTATTGCAAAAGTTTCATATTCTTGTACAGTATACAAATATGTTATTTAACAAATGCATGGACAATTTGTTTAGCTGCAGATTTCATGATTCGTGGTAACAACTGGAGTCGTACCCAGAACGTGTCAACCTTAGCTGTCACGCTAGGTACAACAGAAAGATAATCTCGACGTCGTCCAGCTAAGGGACAGTCACCTCTCAATAGTCTTGGAGCATAGTGAGAACATTCAAATGCCAATGCCTGTGGGTTACTGGTATCAAACCGAACATCATGCTGTGGACGAACATCGAGTTTTTGTGCAATGATTCCCAAATAGATGGCATCTATTTCAAAGTATTTAACAAACGGAAAGGCTGTATAAAATTTGCGAGCAGTGTCTTGTGACATAACATACGATCCACTGTTAACGTAGGTCGGGATTTCATTAAAAGAAACATGTTTCAATTTAAGTCTTTTTCGTATCGTTGAACTATTCTTGATATGCTGATGATTGTTAACTTTCCCGATAAATGTTTGGTTATGGTTTGATAAACTTCTTAAATACAATAACATTTTAGTAGGATATACGTAGAAATCGTCATCTAGGAACAACAACAATTCTGCCTGTGTGCACTGCCTGTTGATCCAATCCAGACCCATTAGGACTTTGTAGGTGATGTGATTGTAATTGTCAATGAAGTTTCCCTGCACAATATCGCCATATAGCTTGACCTCTTTTTCAACTCGCCACTGTTCACCGTCTAAACTGTATGTTCCAAGAAGAAATACAAGCCGAACATGACTGTCACGTACATCTTTCCATACGTGTCGGATAGCGAGTCTTTGATTAGTGTGGAGCACATGAGATTTCACGACAATTAGGATTGTGGAACGTTCATCTCTGGCGCGTGTAAAATCACAAGGAATGGCTGAATGAAGATATCGATAGCTGTATGGATTAATTTGTGTATAAATAATGCTTTTATTATATAAAATCACTTCATCAACAACGTGTTTAAGATCTATGTCCAGGGGATAGTGTTGGAATACGGACACGTTATGTGATGCATTGCTTTGCATGTTGAGTTTTCTACGGTTGATGGATTCGTCAACCAAACCCATCTCAAATATCAGACTAATGTTTCCAAACATAAACAGAAGTACTGATATAATAATCATCTTCCTCCGTGGTTTCCGTAAAGTCATGTTTTGTTTATCTTTGTTGCTTTTCTCAATACATTGCCATTTCTTCCAAATTCGAAAATACGATATTTTGTTGGTAGAATCAGCAATTAAATTCTTATCCTTGTCCGTGATTGTCTGGTGGTTGCAGTAATGATCTTGGAAATCTTTTCAATCAATGACCTAAAAAACAAAACTAACAGATATCAAAAGGTTATTGACTCCAATTATATAAATGACGTCACATTATCAACAGGAGTTATATATTTAATAGTGAAATAACAAAACAAAAACAAACAAAAAAACGAACAAAAACTAGAAAAAAAACCTTCAAAGATATCAATTATGATAACAGAAAACAGATAAGTATGACGGGTTAAATACAGTTAATTGTATATTCACATTATAGAAGCTGTTCTTATGCTGTTTGTTGCCTGTCTATCGATAAATCATGGTGCAATTGCTCATTTTATGTGTAAACACTTATAACACAATTGTAAGTAAACACAGCGATTCATATTTTTGTCATATAATTATTTAGAAACCTGCGTGATAGTGAAGTTTATCATTGAGTGAACGACAGTGACGTCAATACTGCCACCTGGGATACGTTAAGTTCATTTCATTCGAATAGTGTCACGGTTTAGAATACACACATGTACTTGGCGTTGTTCTAAAATCATTTGATCTATGGAAATAACGAATTTTATCTAAATATTTGGCTACTGCACCCCCCCAATCTCAATCTTTAAACCTTTTGCATCATTGACGAGTTCTAGAAGGACGAAACAGCTGTTTGATGCAATTTAATTCATTGTTTGGCTCTACTGTATCTACATCTGAATTTGTATTAAAAGGTGTGGCTGTTGTACAACCTTCAAGTCACCATGCATATTACAATTGCTCATGATCCGTTTTATTCAATAAATCAATCAAATGATATAAGAAGTTAAGTAATTAAAACCATTCGATTTGTGATGACGACCTTGCGTGTTTATATAGACATGGAAAGATACATTAAGCGAGAAAATACAAATGTTATTTCAAACCCATCGGACCAAGTATTTATCAATATAAAAGTAATGTATCAATAGATCAGATTTAACTATTAACAATATTTCTGTATTACGAAAGAGCTAACATCAATTCAAGGCACTGAACGATTGATTCCTATTTGACAACATCTTGTCTAAACACAAGCATAGAGCTCCGACACTTACGTCTGACTAGTTTACGATGCAACATGTATCATTCATAGCTAACTTTGATCTATGTATTGATATTTGTAAGGATACTTACCCAAGTCTGTTTATTTCCATCCAGCCAAGTACATCCAATTCTTCATCAGGAATTACCCCGCAATCCAAGTCTTCGTACGTTATTTTATTTGTGTGTATAACCAATCATGTGTGTATTGTTTAAAAGATAATAAATCACGCAATGTGTTGAGTGCCCAGGAAAGACAAGAATCTTACTCTTTACAAACCATGAAGTTGTTTAAAAAGACAAATTGCAACACGGCCATTATCAAAGGTGTGAATCTTGTTCAAAAATCCCTTCGTATTCATACACATATATTTAACACAAAACTATAAAGCTAAGGCAGAGTAGACAGGGTATTGATTTATTGGTATTTGGTCTACATCAATGAATTGATTCGGAACAACAACAAGCACCTTTCCACTCCTGCCATATCACATATTTGAGTTGATAGAGAGTTGAACAAATCCTTTAGTTGATTAGCAAGGTAAATCAGAAATGTTTTTATATCGAATGAATAAGCATTGTACACATATCAGTCGTCTGCTGAAAGGACACATTAGTAGATGTGACACCTGTTAAACAGAATAAATACATATCACAAAATACCGAGAGTATCGGATTGAATTAAATGAAATATACAATAGATGTACAATTGGCTACACTTAGTAGTAGTAATTGTTGTGTGCAATGATATTAAGAAGACAAGTTGAAACTATGTTTGACAACATACCAAATGTAGTTTCATACAGGCTGTTTGTACAAGGTACAAAACGTTACATATATTACTGTATTTCAGTTCTCATTTGTGTTTCTTTCCTATTTCTTGTTCTGTTATTCAATATGGATTCCCAATAGTTGATCTTTAAGTAAATAGGGCATTTAGCTAAAGGTCCCGGCCACTTAATGAAATGTATTACATTGTTGGTGATTTATAGAAGTTTTAGCATGATATCTTACCGGGCCAAAAGGTTAAAGCTGGAAAACTATATAATGAATGTTGTGTTCTTATTTAACCTTTGGGCGAAAGTCACAGTAGCCCCATTCAGTGCACTGCACACCGTCAATGGAGGTATGCTTTCAGTTGTTTCCAGAATGCAGTGAGTAAGTATGCATGTCATGTTTACATACGTATCACTAATGACATGGTTCAGGATATGAACATGAGCTATTTTGAAATGTTCAAATATTGAAAATGAATTATGTATCTGTTTTATTTTTATTTGATTAGCCGCCTCCTATTAGCAATTTAATTATTTATTGTAAGTAAATCTAAACGTAAATCAATAGGTGTCCTTATCCTTTATCTCTTGCACAAGCTTTCCATAGTTCCAAAAGCATTGTTCAGATAAGAATATGCTAAACATTTTTCTAACTTTGACTTTTAGGTAAAAGTGACAATAACACGCTGTTTATGGGTGATATATCACGATAACATTAATGGTTAAAATGTTATTGCAAAGATAACATAAACAGGAAAATTTATTCATTTGACCTTGAAGTGAAGGTCATAGTGATATTTTAGTACATTGACACCGTCTGTTGCTGATGCAGTTACGCTTTAAGTTTTATCAAGAAATATTAAAACGTTCAATCTTATGGCCCTAACAAAGTTGTGACAGAAGAAAAAAACACTAATCGGACTATACCTTCTCGCTTCATTTGTAATAGGAATAGAAATAATACCCTAAATACTCAAAACAAGCCGACCTAAAAATAAGCCTACCCTAAAAACAAACCTGTAGTTTCTTACACAAATAAACACGCATTTGCTTACTGTTGAAGAAAATAAACCGCGTTTTATTTTCGAGTTTTTAAAGTAACTGATAATTATGAAGATAGGTATGAGCTTACACATTATTCTGCATAATTTCTCTTGATTCTTAAGTCGATTGTCATTAACAAATAATTTATGTGTATGTGAACTCGGTTACTTTCTATTTAAATTTTGTTAACAATTAACGTGAAAATATATTTATTATCGGTAAAATACAACATAACAATTAAGATTGATGAGAATTTTTAATCATATTCTATATTGATGAACCTTGAAATAATGACTTTAAAATCTGAGGCAATTTCATCAATCGTGAAAAAAATCCTTCTTTTCGTCTGATAATTTTTGGGACAGTTTTCTTAGTGATTTGTGCACGTAGAGGACATATTCCTTTAATTAGTCGTGTGGCAACATGTGAACATTCGTATACTAAAGCAGAACGACGAGACGTGTCAAAAATTGGGCTATGTTTTGGGTTCACATCTAACTTCCAAGACACGATACCCAGGTACACGTCATCCAGAGGAAGGTATTTCACAAAGGGAAAGGACAGTTGGAACTTTTGAGCCACGTCGTACGACAGTAAAATGGCACCACCTTTGATATAGGGAGGAAAGGCATCAAATGGATACTGTTTATATAACAAATTTCTGTTGTCGTATTGAAGTCGACAAGGAACTTGCTTTTTCATAACTTTTCCCATGAAAATATTACTAAGATCGGATAGATCGTTTAAGTATGATAATAATTCTTTCTGGTGCACAAAATAGTCATCATCGAGGAAAAGTAACAGTTTTGTCTGAGAGCATGCTTTATTTGTCATCAACCAATTCAGCGCCATGATAAATTTGATTGTATTATTTCTGTAGTGTTCGATGAAATCTTCCTGTAAAATATCTGAATGCTTGTCAGCTTCCATTTCGACACGAGACCTGTCTTCCGGATAGATGCCCTGACCGAGAAGAAAAACCAGCTTAAGGGATGCTGGATGAGCTTGCAGAGATTCGTTCCACATCTTCCGTATCACTGACCTTTGTTCTATGTTTTTAACGTAAGATTTCACAAATATAATGATATTCCTACTTTTTTTGGAAAATTTACATTTCGCTGGTTCGCTTGTATATAAATATGGATGAGAGTTAATGTTCCTCAAGTTCATCTTATGGTTATGAATTATCTTTCCGTTAACGGCCGCTTTTAATTTAGTTTCTAATGGCCACGAAAAAACATCTACAAATGATAAATAGGACATATCACTTCCGTTTAAACTTAAAGAGCTATTCATATCGTTTTCAACGACTTCCGGTGTGTTTGCTATTGCCCTTTTCTTGCTCGCTAGAGGGCACTGTCCTCTGAACAAGTCATCCGCTTTATGGGAACATTCCTCGGCGAGTGCCCCTGGGAAAAGGGTATCCAGAAGCATATCGCTGGTGGGTTTAATATCCAATTTTCTAGCCACAATCCCTAAATACACATCATCAAAATTCAGATACTTAACGTGTGGAAACGCCATTTGAAATTTTCGCGCCACGTCTGCGGACACGATGTAAGCTCCGCCGCCTATGTAAGGTGGGAATATGTCAAATGGATACTGATGAACGGTAACAAACCATCGTTCTCCTCTGTTACGATATGGCCTCGCTTTTACAGCCAAACTCCCACTGTAAATGTTTGTTTTATTAGCAGATAACACTTCCCTTATATGAATGGAAATATTAGTGTATTTCACGTGATAGTCGTCGTCGTGAAAGAAGAGAATATCTGCTTGAGGACAGTGTTTTACTGCCCAGTTAAATCCCATGACAGTCTTGATTGTGTTGTTGAAATACGAATCAACAAAGTTCTCCTGTATGAGGTCTTTGTAGATTCTGTTTTCTCTGTCTATAGGCCAGCGTCTGCCGCCATTGTCCTTCGGATATTCGCCCAGCATAAAAACAAGCGCCATATAAGGGTCTTTAATTTTCTCCCAAAGCGACCGCACAGCCACACGCATCTCCACATTACCTACAAAAGATTTCACAATAACGAGAATCCGTTTTACAGAATCATCACTTATCGGTAGTCGACAGGTGGCAGGAACATTAATGTACTTGTATGGATGGTAGTTGATCGGGGGATTCTGCACATATGATAAGTTTCTCTTAATAGCCTCATCAACCATAGCGGCGAGGTTGATAAAAGATGGATAAGAGAAGTCTTTTTCATACGATCGGTATTCTATCTTCTTCTTTTTAACGGGCTGGACGGTTGGTACAACATCGATTACGAGAATGTCCGGCGGAGGTTCTGGGTTCCCGTTTGCTACGATGTCGTACCTCCAGTCAGCAATAGATAGCTCTAAGATCACACTTAGTGTTGTAAACATGACAAGTCCAACTAAAACGCGAATGATCCCTTTTCGTTTTACAGCACAAATTTGTAGTGTTGTCATAGTGAATATCTTTTTTGAGCTATAAGAATGTAGACATACATGTGAGGATATCAACCAGTGTGATGTTACTATAAATCTGTCCAGAGTCGATTGACTACGTAAGATCAAACAGGTCCATTTCGTCGTTACTTTGGCCAGTCAATTAGGTAGGTCACCACCTGTAAAAGAAAATGTACAATGTAGCATTTATCTTAAAGCAATGCCATGCAAGTTAAATCAGCTTAAACCAACCTGTTGATGCAAGTAGAAACGTGCAGGTAGTGGTCAACGATAAAGGAGGAAACTACCAAATATAAAACAAAACTAGCTTAGGATTACTTCCCCTTATGTCACAAAGTCCAATGAGGCATGTCCTTAACTTTATCATAATTCAATCATGTTTACTTTTCAAAAATGTTAAGGAAATGTGGAAGCCTAAAGGAAACCGCGAGAGTATTCCTGTATCTTTGATGGATCAGAGGATGATAAAGTAAAATATCAGTATCAATTTTACCAAGACTATAAATATTGAATTACAACGTTTTAATTAATTCGAATAGTGACACGATTCAGAATATAAACTTGTATTTCACGTTATTCTCAAATTATCAGACATTATATTGAATTATAGGGCTAGTGCACCTGCCCATCTGGATTTTGTCATTTCTTTCGATCACTTTGAATTTTTCTCTGGCCTCTCCTAGGCTGCTAGGCCATCACTGACGAGTCCTTGAAGGACGAAACAACTGTATAATATAGCATCACTGACGAGTCCTAGATGGACGAAACAGCTGTATAATGTAGCATCACTGACGAGTCCTAAATGGACGAAACAGCTGTATGATGCAGTGTTATTAATGGTTTGTCTCTACTTTAATTGAAATTGTATTAAAATGTGTTACTCATTAGTGTAAGTCACTAAATGAAAGTGCTAGATTAAGATGTATCAAATAAAAATTATAATTATCAATATGGCAGATATCTTGTCACTAACTTTTCCTTTACAGGTTGCATTTAAGATATCAAGTAGACGAGCCTTCATTAACATAATCCTATAATATACTTTATTTTAACAGGATATTTCATATCTTAGCAAAAATTGAAATATCAATTTTTTCAATCTTAATGCAATACAGATTAGTTATCTGAAATAAGGGAAACAAATAAAACATAGGACGATTGTAAACTTTGGTGTAATCTTGTCAACTTGTTTCACTTAAACACGTAATATCATGTCATCGTGAAACTAGCTGAATTTGTTAATAACATGTATATGTTAGCCCTGAATATTTGCTGACTTCGCACGAGAATAACTTCAGAAAATATCGACTAAAGTTATTTGACGAGTCGGTACAAAGGCAGTTATTATAGCTTTGTGTTTAATTATACATCAATATGTTAATTCTACCATACAAACTCGACTAATAGAGTTGGTTAAAATCGAATGTGTCAGAACATGGACCTACATTAATATGATAAATGAAAAAGAACGTGATATACGTACCTCTGCGTGTAAACCTGTATACAGTGTCAGTGACAGCATTACCTATATTATGTTTGACACCACATACCAATATAAATGGCTCGATTAAACTGTACTGATTTTATTATGCATACTAATACACAATATTATGTTAGCAAAGTACTTAATTAATTTATGATAAAACATTTTACTCAAGTTAAGTCAAATCGGTGCTTTTATAAACCTGACTATAAACAGTAAAGTCGGATCACGATTTAAAACTTTATAACATTGAAGATTCATTAACAAAAGAGAAGACAATGCGGACTCATCGAGATAATATCGGTAATCAGAGCACAGTTGTGGAAGACAACTTAACCTAGGATACACAAATTGATATACACTCTGTAGGTGGCGTTAGTTATCACACGAAATTTTAAAATCTAGTTCTATCTATAGGAATAATACATAAAAAACTGAAGTTTACAAACTGTTTATCACAATAACCTTTTTTGTTTTATGAATAAGGGAGTTTTGTAAAGTCTCATCAAGTTGAGAGATCTTTTGCAGGAGTCGCAATACACGCAGACAGCGATTTGTATTTAGTTGTGTTGTTATTACGGGTGAAGGAATATCATGACACTGTCTTACTCTAGTGGTAACAGTACTAATGAAGTCTTCCTCTGGTAGACATGACTACTAAAATCTTACTCTAGTGGTAACAGTACAAATGAAGTCTTACTCTAGTGGTAACACGACTAATGAAGTCTTTCTCTAGTGGTAACAGTACTAATGAAATCTTACTATAGTGGTAACAGTACTAATGAAGTCTTCCTCTGGTGGTAACAGGACTAGTGAAATCTTACTCTAGTGGTAACAGGGCTAATGAAGTCTTGTTCTAGTGGTAACAGGACTAATAAAGTCTTACTCTAGTGGTAACAGTACTAATGAAGTCTTTCTCTAGTGGTAACAGTACTAATGAAATCTTACTCTAGTGGTAACAGGGCTAATGAAGTCTTACTCTAGTGGTAACAGTACTAATGAAGACTTACTCTAGTGGTAACAGTACTAATGAAGTCTTCCTCTGGTGGTAACAGGACTAGTGAAATCTTACTCTAGTGGTAACAGGGCTAATGAAGTCTTGTTCTAGTGGTAACAGAAGTCTTACTCTAGTGGTAACAGTACTAATGAAGTCTTTCTCTAGTGGTAACAGTACTAATGAAATCTTACTCTAGTGGTAACAGGGCTAATGAAGTCTTGTTCTAGTGGTAACAGGACTAATAAAGTCTTACTCTAGTGGTAACAGTACTAATGAAGTCTTGTTCTAGTGGTAACAGTACTAATGAAGTCTTACTCTGGTGGTAACAGGGCTAATGAAGTCTTACTCTAGTGGTAACAGTACTAATGAAGACTTACTCTAGTGGTAACAGTACTAATGAAGTCTTGTTCTAGTGGTAACAGTACTAATGAAGTCTTACTCTAGTGGTAACACGACTAATGAAGTCTTTCTCTAGTGGTAACAGTACTAATGAAGTCTTACTCTAGTGGTAACAGTACTAATGAAGACTTACTCTAGTGGTAACAGTACTAATGAAGTCTTTCTCTAGTGGTAACAGTACTAATGAAATCTTACTCTAGTGGTAACAGTACTAACGAAGTCTTACTCTAGTGGTAACACGACGAATGAAGTCTTACTCTAGTGGTAACAGTACTAATGAAGTCTTCCTCTGGTGGTAACAGGACTAGTGAAATCTTACTCTAGTGGTAACAGGACTAGTGAAATCTTACTCTAGTGGTAACAGGACAAATGAATTCTTACTCTAGTGGTAACAGTACTAATGAATTCTTACTCTAGTGGTAACAGGGCTAATGAAATCTTACTCTAGTGGTAACAGGACTAATGAAGTCTTACTCTAGTGGTAACAGGACAAATGAATTCTTACTCTGGTGGTAACAGGGCTAATGAAGTCTTACTCTAGTGGTAACAGGACTAATGAAGTCTTACTCTAGTGGTAACAGTACTAATGAAGTCTTACTCTAGTGGTAACAAGACAAATGAATTCTTACTCTGGTGGTAACAGGGCTAATGAAGTCTTACTCTAGTGGTAACAGTACTAATGAAGTCTTGTTCTAGTGGTAACAGTACTAATGAAGTCTTACTCTAGTGGTAACAGTACTAATGAAGTCTTACTCTAGTGGTAACAGGACTAATGAAGTCTTACTCTAGTGGTAACAGTACTAATGAAGTCTTACTCTAGTGGTAACATGACTAATAAATTCTTACTCTAGTGGTAACAAGACAAATGAATTCTTACTCTGGTGGTAACAGGGCTAATGAAGTCTTACTCTAGTGGTAACAGTACTAATGAAGTCTTGTTCTAGTGGTAACAGTACTAATGAAGTCTTACTCTAGTGGTAACAGTACAAATGAAGTCTTACTCTAGTGGTAACAGTACTAATGAAGTCTTACTCTAGTGGTAACAGTACAAATGAAGTCTTACTCTGGTGGCAACAGGCTTAATGAAGAGTTAACTTTAGGTACAGTGTACCGGCAAGTTGAATCATATATTTACAAAATCAAGAAAAATTCTTTCTTCGGGAATATTTGAAATGAAACACACTTCGACAGTTTTTGTACTGCAACACAAAATTTGATTCGAAACATATTAGTTATAAGAAATAATTAGGAAGATACAACTGAAGTGATAACCCGAGACCTATACCTCGGCAAACTATTGACTAAGGGAAGTAACTCCAAGACAGAGAAAAACCCTGCAAATATGGAAACAATAAAAATCAACACTACAAATAAAGTAGTGTTCGGACACAATTCATATCACATAAAGAAATGAAATATATATGAGATTACCATGACAACAGTAAAACTTTCCATTTTTTTTTTTTTTTTTTTTGTCTACATGCATCTTTTGATACCTGTGTAACAAGTTTGTCCGCCAGTTGACTTCTTACCCGAAAATCATGATAACGGGAAAAGGTCCTTGAATATCGAATCAAAAGCAACATATGGACGACATAGGTTGGGGATGCAGGAATGTTGCTATCCCGAAATGGAAAATTCATGGGAAATTGAAATCATCACGCTTATCATACAACTTGATGGAAAAGCTGCCCATGTTATTTTCGTTGCGGGAAAAGATCGAGATAAGAAGCTGATGTAGAAGAATCTGTCGTGTCCTTGATTTCCATTTCTTGTGGATATATATGATGGACGTAGTCAATATTTTTGTTATTTGAAAACAAGTCGCGGTCAATATATCCGAAAGTTTTTTGGACTTTGTTTGTGTATTTTCCCTCCTATCTAGTTGTTTCTTTGACAAATACTTGAAGGGGTGTATTGCTTTATCATGTGTTCAGTTTTTGCAGCGAGCATTCCGCTCGGAAACTCCTAGGGATACAACTGCCTTCGCTGTACGTGTAGGCTATTTTATAAATGAGAAGGCGGGGGACGGGGTACAGAGGAGGACACCACATACCTCATGAAAGAGAGAATCAGTAGTAATCCTCTTTGGTACAGTCTCACTGGGTATCCTGGGATTCC